CGCCAGAGTCTGATTCCAATGGTTAGCCGGCTTCCCACCTCTTGCAAACTGGAGTCAGATTACTAAGGATACTGCCCTGCCACTTCTCCCTTACCCCAAGGGCTCCCTCACCAACCCTCGCGTTTGCAGTCCTCCCCTGAAATGGGGCCGTCCGCTGGGACCGGCAAGGTCCGCCTGGGCTGCCTCTGGAAGGGTCTGCTGCCAATGCACAGCTGGCCCCCAAGACGGTTGGCCTTCAGGAGGAGGAGGAGGAGGAGGAGGAGGCTTGAGGGAGGATGATGGGCATCCTTTGTGTGCCCTACTGCTTCTTCTTGCTCTGATTTTAACTGTCACTGTTTTCTTGTTTGCTTACTGCGTTCCAGCCAGAGTGACAGCTGGTCAGCAACACGAGTCTCTGAAATAAATACAAATCTTCCAACCCACGAAACCCACGAGTGCTCCTTCCAAAAAGCTCCCAGCAATGACCTCTTACAAATAACCAGATAGCAAAAGGGTTGCATTCCGAACGATTCCTCCTTTCCCATTTGTTCATTTTAGCATTTTACCATGGACACGCACGTAAATTATTCGGCTTGGGGAGCACGATGTACTTGAAGGGGGTACGGAAATTATGCTTTCAGACGATGTTCGGGTTTCCTGCAACTGGAAACAAAGAGAGAGATATAAATTTTCTTCCACATTTATTCTAGAAGAACATTTTAAAAGCCTCTTGCATACAGATAAATTTACCCTAAAATGAGCAGGTAAAGGCTTAATTACTTCAAAACTGGAACTTTTGTAACCAACTGGTTTTATAATCAACTATTTTTAGCTATAGCCACATGAGGAAAATAAGAATTTCACTCCTTCACTTCCCCATTTCAATTTTGTTTTTATTTCTCAAGCACAGGCTCACACAGGAAGCAGAGGAGGAGGGCTGGAGGGCGGGATCTACGGAAGCCCAAAACCAAAAGAAAAGGGAAAAAGTTCTACCTCCTGATGGGGGCCTTCCAGGTCTTGTAGCAACACCCCAGGGACATCCAGGGGTCTCTCTGGATTTTCTCCCTTCTCCTGACCCTTTTCATCGACTTCCCTCAACCTTTCCAGGTGCAAACATTTTCTCCCTCTGCATCATTTCCTGCCTCCTAGCAAAGCCCCACCTGTCACTTTCCATTTGCTGACATTGACTGATTCTCAGCTCTAAGAGCCCCTCGGATTGACCCAGAGCTGCTTTTCCAAACTGGGCCTTTTATTTTTGTTTTCTTTGAAAGCGTTTCTCTTCTCATCCATGAAGCTCCTCCAGTTCAGAAGAGAAGAAGCTCCTTGGATGAGAAGAGAAACGCTTTCAAAGAAAAAGGAAACACAAGGAAGTCCAGGAGCCTTTTGGAAAACGCACCTGTGGGGGTCAACCGTGACTCTCCAGAGACACAGTCCCCGGAACTCCTCCCCTGCTGGGGTCTCCCCCTTTCCAACGCATCCATTTTAGTCAAAGGGAGAAACCGGAGCCCATCAAAACTTCTGCCTATAAATAAACCGGGTACTCATAGTTTTTGGCTAGGCACGAGAGCTTCCAGGGCTCCCCTCTCAGTGACTGTGTCCAAACCCACCCAAGGAGCGATTTTCTCATAATTATCCCACTTGCACAGTTGCACAACTTCCTCTTATCAGTTGGATGCGGTTTTAGAAATCAGACAGCCCCCCCCCCTCCCCCGGAGGGAGACCAGGCAGGAAAAAAACAAGGTGAGCTAATTCTACTTCATGATAAGGGCAGAGTCACAGAACAGGCCTCCTATCCCCATTTCTAACTCTCTGATGCATTAAGGCAGGTCCCTTCCTAAGTTTCTTCCTCCGACTTTTAATGCCAGCCTCCCCCCTCCTCATGTTGGATTGTTTCCTAGGCAGCCAATCTTTCTCTTTCCCTCCAAGCTCATCACCCTGACAAAATGTCCTCATCCTTCATTTCCTTCTCTAAATCTACACTTAGCCTTTCTCTTACTGGACCAGCACTCGGCCCATCTATTCTGGTACTGAGAAAGAAAACACCCCTACCTGACCCCTTTCCTTCAGGCAAAGGTTCCCCTCCTACGTCTGTGCTAGCCGTTCCCGACTGTAGGGGGCGGTGCTCACCTCCATTTCAAAGCCAAAGAGCCAGAACTGTCCGAAGACGTCTCCGTGGTCATATGGCTGGCATGACTCAATGCCAAAGACGCACGGGGGAATGCTGTTCTCTTCCCACCAAAGGTGGCTCTTATTTTTCTACTTGCATTTTTTACATGCATTCGAACTGCTAGGTTGGCAGAAGCTGGGACGAGTAATGGGAGCTCACTCCGTTACGCGGGGCTAGGGATTCGAACCGCTGAACTGCCGACCTTTCTGATCCACAAGCTCAGCGTCTTAGCCACCGTGTCCCTTATTCTTCCCCTGTCCTTTATTCCTCCCTAACTCCTCCGGTGTCCTCTGAGCATAGGGGTTGCAGAATCCTTCCCCTGGAGTGGGGAGGGAAGGAGGCTTTTGCAGTATCCTTCTCCTGCCATGCCCACCACCCACCACCACCACCCACAGAACCGGTGGTAGGGAAATGTGAATTCCCCCCCTGGGGTTGGAGGCTGCTGAGCGCTCTGAAAAGACGCCTAGCAGGATAGAGAATAAAGCCGAGCCTTTCGTGGAAGATTTACCTTGGCCTTTTCTTCAACTTTGGCTGCCTGTCGACAAGCTGGGTGCCAAATGGACGATCCTGAAAAGGGAAGGAGGATTTCAGCCGTGGTTTTTCCTTTCGGTGTCCAGCATGCAGATGACCAACCATGAGCCTATTGGAAGGTTGTGCCCAGCCACTTATAGCAATAGGAATAGCAATTAGACTTCTATACCGCTTCCTAGGGCTTTCAGCCCTCTCTAAGCGGTTTACAGAGTCAGCATATCG